CTAGATGCGCAAGTGCCTAACGTCAAAGTGGATTGCTGTTCAGGGGACTCTGGTATGAAAGTGCCTGACTCACTAGAGGAATACAGTGATCATACATATCTATGAAATTTATTTTTCTTTTTTAATGACTGATTTTTAGCCCCGACATATGGAGAAAGGCTACTGCAAAGTCCTTGCTTTCTCAGCCATTCAGGCAACCCAACTCATGATACAAGAGCTTAGGACTTTGCTTGCTCCCCACCCTCCACCCTTAAAAAAAAAAAAAGAGCGAGATTTGGAAGGAAAGGATAGCCCAGATTATAAAAGGTGAGAATTCCTTATAACTGGGTACCAAGAGGCAGAGAGAACTTAGGATCAAGTCGTTGTGGTTGTTACTATGATTTCAAATCATATTAATATGAATAATAGTTGTAAATTTGGGAATGCTTATCATGTGCCCAACACTTTAATCATCACAATGGCCATGTGAAGTAGATATTATTTTCCCCATTTTACAGATGTGCAAACTGAGGTTTAGAAAGATTAAATGATTTGTCCATGGAGGCACAGCTTCTAAGTGTGAAGGCAGGATTCAAACGTAGCCTTGTCTGGTCCAAATACATTACCTCCCCTCTAAATATTTACTATTTTCCTCATTATAAAGGTAATTTGCTCATACAAGAAAATGTAAAAACTAAAGATAAGCATAAAAAAGAAACATGTCAATCATCTGCAACCCCACCCCCTGGAAATGCCCTGGTGACATTTTTCATTCCAGTGTTTTCCTTTTATTCTCCAGGAAGCAATTTTTGGTTGTGGAAGGAGGGCTGGGCTCTTAATGGAGGCTCTTGGGTTCCACCGAAGAAGAGCTCCTTACCCCTAACAGTATTTTTATTAAGTAGAGAAAATAAGTGGATGGAGGGTTCTGCATGTGTGTGTGTGCGGGGGGGTGGGGGGGGGGGTCAATATTGCTGAGATGGTAAGAATGATGGGGACAGCATGGTGAGTGAAAAGAGGTGAGAGAGCACAGAATCCAAGAGGCTGGGGAAGGAATGTAACTCATCTCAGATGGCGCCTGCAGGAGTAATTAGGGTAGAATGTTGGGTCTCTGCCCATCGGCCCTGGTTTGCCCTGACCGCGCTCTTGAGTGCCCAGAAAGCCAAACTGAGTGGTTGGTGGGCATGTTTGGAAGGAGAGTCCCCTAAGAAAAGGAGAAGCTGCCCTCTAAACCGTACAGAAGAGGCACATGCACAATTATCCCAGTTGTTGTGGCTGGGAGGGGTGGTGATGGCAGGTTAGTCTAAGTGTTATTGGGGAAAGAAACTCCTTCCTCAGTTCAACCTCCACAGCTGCCAGCTGAGCACAGGTGGGCCGCCAGCTGAGGACAAGTGGGCCTCCAGCTGGGGACAGGTGGGCCTCCAGCTGGGGACAGGTGGGCTTCCAGCTGGGGACAGGTGGGCCTCCAGCTGAGGACAGGTGGGCCTCCAGCTGAAGACAGGTGGGCCTCCAGCTGGGGACAGGTGGGCCTCCAGCTGAGGACAGGTGGGCCTCCAGCTGGGGACAGGTGGGCCTCCAGCTGAGGACAGGTGGGCCTCCAGCTGGGGACAGGTGGGCCTCCAGCTGGGGACAGGTGAGCCTCCAGCTGAGGACAGGTGAGCTGGGGCTGGTTTCTTTGGTCATTCTCCTCTTTTGAGGAGAAACTTCCCAGTTCCCTGAGAATATCCCAAAAAAGGCTTAAGCCTTTGGTTTCTAGGTGGGGAATAAGATGTCAGGAAGAGAGCACAAGACGGGGGCGGGGGGAGGGGGGACAAAAAGTGTGCCAGGCCCTCCACGATCACACTGGCCTCTTGATAATTCCCTTTCACTGCATTTAACTAACGATGAGCACACACTGAAGAACTCTGAGATCTATGAAACGAAGATAGCCTTCGGAAGCATGGCGAGGAAAGGCATGTGTACTCTGCGCTTAGACCTCTGGGGTTTTAATCTGCTCCCGGGGCAGGACCTGGTTGGGGTGGTGATCACTGAAGGCCCCACTGATACCCACCCCACTTCTGTGAACTGGATGGGGAAGTGCATAGAACTGAACGACCACCGTGAGACCTGGTCATCGCACGCCCAGGGAGCCAACCACAGTGAAAGCAGTGGAAATCCTCAGGCTAAACCAAGGAGGGCAGATTCCTAGAAGCCAGAGGGTCAGGTCAAAGGAGAAATGCTCTTCTGACTTCATAGCAACCATCTGCATCCCAACCCACATTAACACTGTGAGCACACAGGGGTCAGGGGCTGAGGCCCTCTCCAAGCCCGGGCCTTGCCTCTGAAATCACTGTGGCCAATCAGTTCCCTGCTCCTTTCTACTCGCAGCTGGGGCAGGCTGTGGGAGGAACAGAAAGCTGGGATGTGGGGTGGGAAGAGAGAGAGAGAGAGAGAGAGAGAGAGAGAGAGAGAGAGAGAGACATCAATGATGAGAGAGAATCACTGATCAGCTGCCTCCTGCACGCCCCCACACTGGGGAGGGAGCCCACAACCTGGGCATGTGCCCTGACCTCCTGGTTCATAGGTCGATGCTCAACCACTGAGCCATGCTGGCTGGGCTGAAATTATTTTTATATGACCAATTTCACCCACAAAAACAACTAGTCCACATCAACTCATTATTTAAACAAATTATAGTCATATCTGCCATTTACTGCACAACTAGAGTGTGTCAGAAACTTCATGCATATTGAGTTATTTATTCTTCCCCGCAACCCACAGAGGTAGATACTATCCTGACTTCAGAAGGGACCCTTTTGAGCTGGAGGCACCTCTGAGGACAGGGAGAGGCAGCCACATTAGGAGTGCCTGCTGCTCACGTGGCTCCTCCAACCCCGCCCCCTCCTGTCAGCTCTACCGCTCCCCATAGCCACTGACTGACATCTCCACTGACGGCCATGGGGCCCCTTGGCCGCTCAGGGGTCTCTGGCTGTCTTGCATCCCATCCCACCGTGCGCTTCTCTTTCCTGAGTGGGGAGTACAACTGTGTCCACCTGAACCTGGACCTGAACCGCCCCTTATTTCCTGCCACTGCCCAGGAGGGACACCTCCCTCCCCCCCCCCCCCCAAGGACACCCTGCCTTAACCCTTCACCACCCCTTCCCTGCACTTTCGACCCCCGGCTCGTCCTGGCCAAACCCTAAAAGCACTCCCCCTAATAAACCGCTCCGGGTCTTGGCCCAGTCCCCGCACCAAAACCCCTGCCCCGCCCCAGGAGAGCACCTCCCTCCAAGCCGGATAGGACATCCTAGACATCTCCGCT